GTCAGCAGGTTACCAAAACCGGTACAATTAATGTCACAGTAAAATTGGACTATAATAGCGGTAACGGAATCGCTCAGCTTATCGTTAATAGTGTAAGAACCATAAGAGTTAGGGCCACCAAATTTCAGACAAGCTTGGGGCAGCCATTTGACACATGACCTAGGAGTTTTGTGTTCCAGTGACTTCAGATCAGGTCACAAGGTCACAAAAACCGGTACATGGTCAAAATGGCACTGGGAATAGTAATACGTTCTTTTGTCAATGAAATCTACACTGTAAACCAAATTGACAAGTCTTGTGTAATATAACCAATCATCTCTTGGTATGTTTACCAACTGATACTTTTTAAACAAGCCGTTGTCTGGTGCATTACTTGTCAGGTGACAACTACGATTCAATAGTTACTATGCACACCAACTTCTCAGTATCCAGACCAACTCTACATTTGTTTCAACGTTTGTTTCTTAACCAGTTTTGGAAACTTGTTGCCGCATGGTTATTTAACCGGCGCCTAACTTGTACTGGTCAGCTGGTCAGCATACACATGGTCAGCTGCGCCGGTGACGTCAGACTTGGCGGACCAATCAGCGGTCGCCGCGCGCCGTTAGCGGGCCCCGGCGCGGCGGTTTCAAACCAGCAGTTGTCGCGCGGCCGCCGTGCAGCCTGGAGCAGCGACGAGGGCTGTTCCAGCATTTGTGCAGTAAAAAGTGAAATCTGTGAACTGTGGTGTTCGTGCGGTGAGTGAGGCCCCCTCTGGCCTGCGGGACGCACTAATCGTGCCTATACCCGCGGTCGAGACGCCTCCCTTCCCCTACGCGCGCAATATGTAAGTGGGCCAGACCTGTGCATGCACATGTGAGCAGATGTTTTGCGGTCGGTGTTTTTTATATATAAACAGGCGCGTAACCACCACTGGGGACACTGGGGACCGGTCCCCAGTAACTTTTGGGTTGCTGGGGACCGTCCCCAGTAAAACCGAAGACCTTAATTTGCTGCCAAATATTGTCCCTAAATCGACATGAAGAGTAATATGTAGTAAAAATAAAAGACAAAACTATGGATATTTTAATTAGCCTGCGCCCGGGTGGGCCTCTCAGCCAACTTCGCCATGGTGGGGGGGGGGGCGGTGGGCTTTTTGGCCACACCAGATTATCTCGAAAAGTAAGCAAGCTAGAAAGACGCGGTAAAAGCAACAGATAGCTCGCTACAGTGTCTTTCAGAATTACTTCTGTCATTTTTGATCGGGTCAACGCTGAGGTCACTGGAGGTCACCAAAGGTAAAATTTTCACGAACTTTTGTCCCAACTTTGACAACTTTTCACCAGGGATGCGGAGCCGTGGAAATTTCAGACGGTTCCGGCTCCGGCTCCGGGTGAAATGTCATGGCGGCTCCAGCCGGCTCCGGCTCCGAGTAAAATGATCCGGCTCCGGCGGCTCCAGCTCCGGCAGCTCCGGCTCCGGCCTCTACTCAGTACATCCCCTATGCGATCAATTAAATACGGGTGGAAGAAAAAAGGCGATGGGATTGGTACACGTTGCTTCTGTATTTGTATAACAAGGCTATTTACGCCTTGTACTGTCAAACCGAACTAGGTAAATAATTGTTTCTTCTTAAGAAAAGGAGCCGGAGTCGCCCCCTTTTTTGACGGCGACGGCTCCGGCTCCGGCTCCGGGCTATATTGTTTCACGGCTCCGGCTCCGGGCAAAATATGCTGGCTCCGGCGCCTCCGGCTCCGGCTCCGCATCCCTGCTTTTCACAAATCGGCGCATAAGTCAGGAACCGATAGAGCTGCATTGCTGCGGGAAAGCGCATCCGATAGCTCTTTTGAATGCCTTTCTGAGTAATGCTCTCAGATTTGACCTAAGGTCAACGGTTTAGCTTCCAGGTTGGCGTTTTTGCGAAAAAGGTTTTTGGATCATAACTTTTGACTTGTATGACGCTGATTTTACCCGCATCGCGTTTGTCTCGTCGAGACGCGTCAAATGAATTATAAATTGACCTGAAAAGGTCAACTTGAAAATTTGACCCCTGGTCAAGGTCACGGAAAAGGTCATCTTGCATGTCATTCGATTGGTACTGTTGAACTGAACCCATTCATGGTGTTTTAAGCGTTCTAGCATGTTTCTACCTAAAGTTATGGTAAAAAACTGTTGGAGATGTTTTGTGACCTGAGATGACCTCAGGGGCATAGAAAGGGGCAATTTTCCGGTTCAGTGTTTACCTGTGTCACGGTGATTGAATGTGTTTTCGGCCAAAAGAAGAGCAATTCAATTTTTCGCAATGACTTATAACTGAGAGGTCTCAAAATTGACCTGACATTAGGTCACCGATGTGAGAATTTTGAGACATACGATTGTTCATACTGATTTTCTCATGCACTCATGCAAAAGTTTGAGTTTCAAACTTCTGGGATGTAAACTGTAGGAATGTCAGTCACAAAGTTTTTTTAGAGGCATGGTTACTTTACTTGACCTGGTGACCTGACCTCAGGTGACCTGCGGTCAAAATTTTCACACACGATGCGAAATTAAGGTATCATAGGCTCCTACCAAGTTTCGCGGCGGTGCGCGCCGCGGTTTTCCTTACACGCCCATAAAAAAAAACTGGCAGGTCTGGCCAAAAACGTCCACCCCCCAGCCCTCTCCCCCACTCCCACCCAACTCTGGCGAAGGCTGATCCTGAAATATAATATGTGGTCTTCACGGCCCTCCATGTGGTCCCCAGTAACTTCAAACTCGTGGTTACGCGCCTGTATATAAATACATTTATTTGCCTTTATTTCAACTCTTTGTATTTTTAACTTAACTGATGGACATATATGGGCTGTAAAAGCTAATCTGGTTGGCGATCATGATGTATTCGAATTATCTGCGTGATCGTGCAACTGCCATGATTGTTATGGTCAATGTTCAGGAAATATTCGTCATACGGGCATGTTATACTTCTGGCTTGATGCGGTGCACAAAACCATGTTCTTCCACATACGCAGCAGTTCTTGCTTCAAAGATTTATATGCTGACGGTGCCCTGAATCAGTATCGTGGCAATGGAAAACGAACGCGAATCGTAAGTTCTAAGGTTATCAACGCAAACAAAGCGATTGTAAGGAAGAACAAGTTCGAACAGAGCGTTAGTACACTCACTTGTTCACAATTTGTAAGCTAGCAATGCCCAGTCAAAGGCTAGTTCATCAACAAACCAGGGGTGGGAACGACTATGCCTATCCAGAAGTTGGTAGGTTCACAAGGCCCAGACTAGTACTCAACAAGGTGACGCTTATGCGAATTGGAACCAAACTTGTAGACAAACTGTTAGTTTGTTGGCCAACAAGTCTGGGGTTGGTGAATCGACAATGTATCGACAAGGTGACGCCTATGCGAATTAGAACCAAACTTGTAGACAAACTGTTAGTTTGTTGGCCAACAAGCCTGGGGTTGGTGATACGACAAGGTATCGACAAGGTGACGCCTATGCGAATTGGAACCAAACTTGTAACAAGGAGCCAACTTGTAGATTTGGTTTACAGTGTAGAGTTGTTCATAGATTTGATTCAAACTGGGAGGATAAGCTTATCTCACCAAGTTGTGTAACCTCCGGCTCCATCCAGGTTTTCAAAATTCGGGTGACCTGAGGTCATCTAGAGGTCACGACAAATTTTTTAAGATTTTTTTTTTCTGAATTGCTCCGATCGTACAAATATGCTCCAATGCAACGTTTTTGTGTGTTATTTTAGGTGCATTTAGGATGAATTCGGTGTTTGCTTGCTTAAAAAAACACTTAAGTCAGGTCATCTGAGGTCAAATGAGGTCAAACTACGTTTTAGCTAATAAATTCGCACTTAATGACTGAGGCTAGAGCTTAAAAAATGGTGTCATTGTGTTCCTTGTGATCAGCCGAATCGAATGTTATGCGACATGTTGCAGTTTGGTCAGCTTGAAGTTATTTAAATAATTTAAGATCACTTAAAAATTAGGAAAATTTTTTAAGTTTTATAACTTGTAACAAAGTATACCATTCGATGCGCGCAGACGTGCTGAGTTCAATGGTGCTTTTATTTTTGCTCTATCTTATCTAGAGCAAAAGATGTAGGTACCTAAGCGAAAACTTTTGACCTGTTTTTGCGAATTTTACATTTATACCCCCAAACCCCTAAATATTTATCTAGAGAAACCATATTTGCACAGGGGCGGGATCTCCTTAGCGCCCACCTACCCTGTAAATTTGGCGTTTCTAAATGCCATAAGAGCCAATCGCCGGGGGGGGGAGGAGGTCGTACCAACCCCCCCCCCCTGGCCGTCCGTGTTATGGAAAAGGCTTGGCGGGGGTTAGGTCGCTCCTGATCCATGTACCACCTTCCACCTTATAGGCTTCCATTCGTTCCATCCGTGCCCCTTAGGAAGGTGTCGGAGTTCGTGAGGTTACATGACTAAGGCCGATGCAGCTTCTCAGAAAGATAGGTATGCACCCCCCCCCCCCCCCGAGTCTCGGCTCTCAGAAAGATACGCCTCCAATGTATGTGCCGCACTCCGGATAGGTGGTGCCACTAGCCGCTCTCCGGTAGATGTGGCCCCTCTAGAGGGTTCTTCTGCTTCGGCCAGGCGCCGCCCCTTGATCAGTCTATCCTCGATTCGGGTGGTTCCGCGTCCCCGACTCTCTGCATCAAGACGGTTAGGTCCATATCTGCATGCATTTGAAGAAAGAGAATGCTGAAGGACGCGTTGACCTTTCCACAGCGGAGTTCATGGGAATCATGGGAATGGCCTATTCATCTCTGCAGCGCAAACTGCATCGTTGGGACGGGACATATTGGCTCAGTATGAGCGTCATCCGGCACCCCCGGCGGGAACTATCCGGCTCATCTACATATCAGAGGGCCGACCATATGCAAGTGCGCCTGTCGCGCCGCGGTCGTCGGGTCGGTGCCGGCGGGTGGGAGGGGGGGGGGGGGCACAGCCACTGGCGCACCGGCAGTCGACAGTCCGACGCAGGCGAGCGAGCGGTGTGGCCGTATGTGTGGGGGCTTGTCCGTGACACGGAGTCGTTCTCTAGTGACCGGGGCGAGGCGGTGGTCAGTGTGGTGCCGGAGGATACTGATCAGCGGCGGCTGGGAGCTTGACCAGGTCAGTGAGGGTGAACTTGTCTCAAAGCGCACGTTCCATTGACCAAACATGTTTAAAATTTAAAAATCACCGCAATCTGAATTAGCGGCAAAAGGTATGGTAATGGCATCGACACATAGTTACACCGAAGCCTATGCAGTTTTGAGGACGCATCACATCGTATGTAATTACGATGTAGATGCATGGTAATAAAGGGACTCCCATTGTTTTGTTTCGGAAAAGTGGAAGCCTACATAATATTTTCCTCGCACTGGCCGAGGCCCGAGGCGAAATGCGTAATTTGACCCTCACCATTCAAAGTCCACGCCGGCTTCGTCGTATCGAAGGAAGCCATTTACGTTAGAGTAAATAGTTATCACTCCATAATGAAGATAAGTGGAAATACAATTGAATTGTGATTTCAGAAGTCGCCCCAACAAGCCACTGTATGTAGAATGAAGGTATTATGCAATTTTGTGTGTTGTTGTACCGATTACCGAGAGCAGTTGCGCTCTGGCGCAGCCGACAGCGAATACCTATGGGGCTATGGAGTAATGACAGTGACAACATGCGCTGAATGTGGAAAGAATCGGTGATATGCCCGCCTTGTTTACCTTATATACATAGAAGGCCCCTTGGTTTGTGTATGTAAATCATAAATTAATGAGTGGCAGCAATCGGTCTCCATTCGCCTGTCGCGTGGAGCCATCGATTAGTGTCGTTACCATAATTGACCTTCCACCAGTCGTCACTCATTAGTAGTTAATCCAGATCAAACACAAGTGAGCTGTGGCCACAAGTGGCTCAAAGTGTTGAGGTAGCATAGTACCTGCATACTCAGTACCAATGCGGAACGTCATATGTAGACATAAATATATAGCTAGGGATGCCCGAGGTCCATCTCCACAGACGATGACTGACGGGGATAGGAGGGCAGTATGTATATAGGTAACTAGGTAAGGCGACGGGCGGTCAGTAGCCCGATTACTAAGGATACATGATGAGGCTGAGCCTGGGGTACCTTCATCATATCTCATCACCTTCCACTTTTCACGGAAATAAGATAAGGAAGCTAGCTCGGCTCCGTCCAATGCCCACAGGCCACCCAGTGCTTTGGGCGTACTTATTAGTCAAGGTTAACATGACGGGCTATCATGCTGGCTGAAACTATTTTTAGCCTCAATCTACCATCAGTCTGCACTGCAGTCTGCACAAAATTAAAGCCTAAACAATGTTCAGAACAATGTTCAGATTGAAAAACGTTATATAATGATAAATATTGTTACATGAAAAACGTTATATTTACGAACAATAGCGTGATAGGTATTTTCTAAAATGTCATTGGATTGTTAGTGTTACGGTAGGTATCAGATAAACATTGAGGATGGTAACATACGATGCAAGTAACTATATGACTTGATACAGTACATCTGGTGGTTCTACCTTCTGTTTAATTAGGCTTTCGCGTGTCGGGAGCTCCGAGCAGGCAATGTTGATTAAGTTGGACCGCTCCGGCACTGGAGGCCAGAATAAAGTGGTCTCCTCCCTACTCCAAGGTAAAGTTGGACGGCGCTTCCAAGCCCTCCTGCTGCTTCAGTTCGAAAGTTGTATCCAGGGCTTGTTAGCAATCGTGCTCTGTAGATTCTGTATTCCTCAGCGTGCACCCTCACACCGTCAGTCCATCTCGCTCACTGACTCACCGCCTGCCCGGACACAGCTTGGCCCCGGCGGCAGCGACCTGACACTGCCTGAGCGAAGTCCATCTGACTCGCATCGCGGAAAGCATCACTTAGCATCGAAAAGCATCACTGAAACTACACTCCACCCTTGATCTCGAAGGATCAACCCATCGATTGGAAATACTGGGCCTGTCTACGTTCCCGCTCGCTTCTACGTGGAATCTGTCGCTCCTCCTCACCCACAATCTCAGCTGACTCTCCCTCCACGACTTCCGGCCCACTGTTCCCCTCTGAGCCCGCATCATTCACCACCGGCACGGTAATGACCAGACTCTCACCGTCCCTCTCTCCCTCACTGTCGCCCTCACTAACGGGCCCCTCCTCGACGGCGGCATTCCGTCGGCGTAAATTTCTCACGTGCCACGGCACTCCATCGACTTCTACGACCTGCTCAGAAACGACATCAGACACCGTGCCGGGACGCGACGCATCAACACACCGAGTTCCCCGACGACGTACCCAGACAGGGTCGCCAACACGATACGCGGCTGCCTCACTGTTCACTGGTACGGGGTTGGGCGCTGGCGGTGCAGCAGCGGGCCGCACATTGTCCCTCACATTGTACCGGAACACGACACTCGCGGGTGCAGATCCACCCTCGCGCGGCGTTACATTGTACAGGTGGACTGCCTCGGCCACCGAGCATTGTTTTCGCGCAGCAATGACCTTGATCGTGCGATGGTTCCGCTCAACTATCGAATTGCCAGCCGGCTCATGAACCGCCCTAAATCGAAGACGCACGCCCCACCTCGCTGCAAAAGCCGCAAAACTCCGACTGCGAAAGATGGTGTCATTATCACAAAGCAGCTCCTCAGGTGCCCCGCGCTCGAAGAAGATCTGTTCGAGCTGAGCGATCGTGACATCAGCGTCCGGACGACTCAGGTGTCGCCACAGACAGAACCGCGAGGGTCCACAGTCCACAACCGAGAGAAACGACTGGCCCCGGTAGTGCGTTACATCAATTGCCAGTCGCTTCCATACGTCAGACACTTCCAACGAGCCATGCCTCCACTTCATTGGCGCCGGATCGATTGAGCGGCATGCGTCACACTGGCTCACCACATTTTGCACTTGAGCTCGCGTCACGTCCTTTGAAATGTCACGCCGTGCAAAGTACAGTGTCCGACGAACCCCGGGATGTCCGGCGCGGTCATGCACTCCTGCGATGGCCTCCGCAATATCAGCAGAGCCTCCTGGTGCAAGCTGATCCTCCGTCCGGTCCTCTGCCGCGCCTGTGACCGAGTCCGTGCGCAGATCGATGACACGCATGTCCCAAGCGACGGCCACGTTGATGCCTCTCACGGCCGCATTTAGCTCCGCAACATTTATGTGTGTAGATTCATCCTTCCTCAGCCAGCATCCGTCTTCAATGACGTCGCCGTCAGGTGACTCCACCACCACACCCGCTGCTACGAAGCTCGCATCCACCCAAACCACAGCGCGGTCGCTCCGCACGCTCCACAGACCGTGTGCCGGATCGTGACTGGCTACCCGAGCCGCGACATGACTAATCTGCTTCTGCAGAACTCTGTCGTAGGTGATGTCATCCCATCCTTGTGTGACGTCATTCACGCGTCGTTTCAGCCAGGCCACGGCAGGGCGGAGCCAACCACACACGGGCATGTGAGCGATCAGGCGTCCGCACCACGAGAACACTCCACGGCGCGTGAGCACAGCCGGTGGTGGTCCGACTGGGTTGTCTCTGCTCCACACCAGCCTGCCAAGCTCCCGTGAGACTCGCAGACCGAGCAGACGCGCACCGCCTGCCGCCCGCTCTGGACGTTGGATCAACGATGCATTGAGCGGCCGCACTCGGCTGCGCACCAAGGCACACGGAGAGATGTTGATCAGACGCAGGGTCGACATGATTCGACAGCTGGTGGATGAGCTCGAGCTGTCGCTGTCTGTAACTCTAGTGCGGAGCGCAGCGAATCGAGCAGACGAGCTGACCCGAGTGCCGAAAGACTGGGTGCGTGATGAGTCATCGCCTGCAGATACTGAGACAATGGCCGGCTGCGAGGCTGCGGCCAATGGGCTGGCATTGCCTAACTCTGATGACGATTCATCGGGTTCGGCAGTACTGAGAGGAGGCGATCAAGTCGCAGCTGCAGGTGGTAGCAGCGCTGAGGTGGATCGGATGACGCCGCGGGGAGACTCGGCCGGCGCTGGCTTATTCCCTACAACGAGTCAGAGCTTGGCCCACCAAAGGGTCTGGTGCCTTTAATGGCAGTCCAACAAAAGAACAAATCGAAAGTGAGACCTGTGCTTGACTATCGTGAACTGAACAATTACTTGACAGCTCACACAGCTGACGCAGACGTCTGTGCGGACCAACTGAGGAAGTGGCGACGACATGGCGAAAACGTTGCGGTCGTAGATCTACGTCACGCGTATTTGCAGATTCATTCTCCACGCCTTAGATGTCGGATCAAAGTACACGGCATAATCTGGTGCATCCACAACTGGTGCCCGGTCCGGGTGCAGGTCGGTCGGTGTCGGTTCGGGTTGCGCCGCCGTCTCATTGCAGCCCGGATGCAGCGATGAGGCTGCTCCATCCGAGACGCCACTGGCAGCCGCTGCAACTGGAGCGGCCGGCACAGCTGAGTCCACTCCAAAGTTCACTTCACTGGATGCACTAACGAACACGCCCTGCAGAGCAGTCACACCGTTCATTCCCAGCATGAATGAAAAGTTCAAAGGCTTTCTAGCAGACACCAGCACTTCCAACTCAACTCGAGCACCAAACATGGTCTGCACTGACACGTAACCTCTGCCTTCGCATGCGTATCGTTCTCCACTCAGTGTCACAACGTCGATTCGCTCCGCAGACCAGCGGCGGCAACGACAGAGGATAGCACGGGCCCGGTCCACCATCTCCGACAGAGACAGGGACTCCATGCGGGCGCCTGTCTGGAGAGCGTGCCGCACGGACTCGGGCAGTCCTGCCACAAATGCGCAGCTCAATCCCTCTTCGTTAATGCCTCCGAAGATCGACGACAGTCTTTGTAGGTCCGCCAGAAACACATCGACGGACTCGTCGACCCGCAGCTGGCGATCTCGGAACTCTTCGTAGGCTTTGAACTTGTCGACTGCAAACGCACGCTGCAAAGCCGCCTTCACTTTCCCTGCGTCCGCCTTGTCGGCTTCACTCAGTTGGCGATAAACAGTCGAGGCACCCCCTCAGTCTCAACGGCACCACCACGGCCAAGTCCACTGCCGGTTTTTGCAGGCCACACACCAGTTCCACCTTCTCATACCAACACGAAAAGTCACTAGTGCCAT